TTCGTTCACTACGAAATCACGTTTGTGTTCGCGCCTTTCTTCGTCTCAGACTCCCCCCCACGTTGTAGAACACAGCAAGAATCGTTTCATGCATAGCGTGGTGCAGTCATAAATGTGGTTGCTGATACGCACAGTAGCACTCGACGCTCGACCTTTTGGTTGACCCCCCTTCTCCTTTGCTGTCTATATGTTCCCCGCCTTTGTCCTTCTTGCTACCTTCTTCACTGCGATTTCTCATCACTTCGCGTCCAGACGCATGGCAAAAAAGACGGTGTTTCTGGACCACAACATCCCACCTGGTGGCAAGACGTACGTGCTGGTGAACTGGGAGAACGAAGGGTCGCGTTGGGTTGGAGCTGAAAGGTTGGCAGTCATTACCGCATATATCTGGAGGTTGTTGGTGTTTGGATCGACAGTGTTCATTGTGCGTCACCGAATATCACAGTAGTCTAATGCAATGGTAACCTACAGAACATAGTCGACTTGCGTCAGGCACGATGATTGGCTGATCACTTTTAACAGCGCAAGTCCTTGGTATTGTCCTCTACTTTGATGCAATGGTAACCTACAGAAAATAGTCGACTTGCGTCAGGCACGATGATTGGCTGATCACTTTTAACAGCGCAAGTCCTTGGTATTGTCCTCGACACCGTAGCAGCTGCACCCATGCTCCTTTCTGGTTATTGCGACGCGGCCTCAGTCTGGCGAAAGCGCGGGAGATGCAAGCTTACTTGTGGGCTCGACAAGTCAACATGATAAGGAACAGTCGAGGAGATGGTTCGGCGGCCGCGGGAACCGACGCGGAAGTGAACGTTCTTCCTCGGAAAGAAGCGGAACGCGTAGCAGACCCGCCGAACAGCACCTACCAAGCGGCCGTTGTCGGGATCCCACCAAGGCCGGTAATAACGAATAGTAGTTGTTTACGTAGGTGCTGCAAACCACGCCACCCCGACCTCGATATGTGTGATTTCGACGCTGGTCATATTTTGTTATCACGGAACATTCATACAGAGACCCTAGGTGGCCGAAACCAACCTCGTCCGCTTTGCCCCCCGGAGCGCGTGATAGTTCCGTGGCATTTATCGTCGCCATCTGCCACGATACACGCACCACGCCGCACACTCCTCAAGACGCGAATCAGAATATCGTCTGTCTCCTGTTTCATCTGTGATGTTTCGTGGTTTCACTCCGTATCATATTTTCGTGCAACTGACCGTACCTTATATGCATACGGGGTTTCATTGGTCATCATGTTCTCGTACATCGTACGTGTTATGTCTTGACTACACGACGTGCCCCCTCGCCTCTCGTTTCTCGCAGTGATTCCATGCTATGCTGGCAAAGTGAGAATGAGTGAACCGTCCACGCCCACTGGCTGACCCAGTATCGATGTCTATCCCACTTCACGAAATGCATCGACCTCTCGATTAATCCCGTCTCCTCCTCGATAAATTTCATTTCGACAGCGGGAGAGACTCTCTGTCCAGGCGTGTCAGCGGAAGGAACAGGCTTTCAGGGCGCACGCCGAGGCGCTTTGGAGGGACGTCCAGCCGTCCCTCAACTACAATGACGTGGCGGGGGCCTTAGTGTTGGCGCTCATGTCTCGCAAAGGGACTCTGTGATTAGACTTGGAAGTATTCGATTGGAACAGTGGTGAAGGGCGACGTGAGCACTTTCTCAACAGAAAGGTGCCTGTGGACTTCCTACAGTCCATAGCGTGGGTACCACATTGATTCCGGCGCATCTGTGTAGAGTTGGCTGGGTTTTTCCTCGTTTATTCTGTTTGTAAGGTGCCCTTCTTGGGTGGGTTTCCTGTGACCACGGAACGTGTGCCCATCAGTTTGATCTGTACGAAGTACAAAGATAGTGAGGGACAATCGGAAAGCAAACCATGCTCCTCGTTCTTGTGAACACGACGACATCGGCAGCAACAAATACCATTGTATCGTATCGTTTTGGAACAACAGCAGTGGCACCGCACGGCAATTGTGCGTAGTGAACACGCTGCCTAGCGCAGAAGGTGGTGGGTTTAGACTGTTGATCCGAACGTTGGTGTCAGGGCGCTTCTTCTTTTGGTTACAAAGAAGGCGACGAGAGAGTCTCTGAGAGACACGGATCGAACTCAAAAGAGTCAGCACTTGCAGGACGAGCTATTTCCTACTGTGTGGGTGCTGACCAAGGTCCGAATCGCTGTTACATTCAGGATGCTTGCTTGGCTGTCGACCTCCGCCCAAAACCCGAGGACAGTATAAAACACAACTCTCGCTGGCCAATCGTACTCATCGCTACCCCGCTTGTGCCACTTCATAGGGTGCTCGAATCCCTCCCCATGCTCCTCCAACTCTCGGTGTGTAGGCACGCGACCCTTTGTCGACACACCCCACGGATGAGAGTTGGCATATGTATATGATGCTGTGCGTGGGAAGTAAAAAGGCCATTCGTGGCGACACACACGACCCTCCCCCTCGGGGTGCTTGAAATTATCATGTTGTGTGGTAGATGATCGAGTTGGCCAAAGAGACCTCGCCAGTCCACACCAGTCCACACCAGACCATACCAGACGCGTCGCTGGCGACAACACGGAGACAGGGAAAAACTATCCCCCCAAACCAGCAGATAGAGTTCCGGAGTAGACTACATACACAGATGCTCCTCCAGGCCATGTGATCCCTCGCCCTGCTTTCCGCACTGCGCCATAGTACGATCCCATCGGTGTCCGATGGAAGCTCGATTTGGTGCAAGCGCGCGCGTGACATCGAGGTGATCAGCAACACCAACGCAGCGAACGGCGTTCATCGAGTGCTGAGTGAAATCTTCCGAGCAGGATGGTACGCACTCAATGACACCACGGAAAAAGAGGGCGGCAAACCTAGAATATTTTTTGTATTCGATACGAAACACACTCATGCATGGAATGAAACAACCTTCTAAGAACTGCTAAAGAGGTTGGAATAACCATCGTCAGTCCTCTTACTATCACCCACACCTACGTACGCCGTCGCCTTCTGCCCTCTCTCGTTTCGCAACCGCCTGCCGACAATTGCCGCCGAATCAGGAAAAAGGTTGTAAACGTCACGAATGTCTTCGCGGCTACCCTCTCCCTGGCCAGCAGCAAGAAGGGCATCCTGACATGATCGTGGGACAAAATACACCAGAAAAAAAAAAATCGGATGTATACCAGCACACCCGCGGCACAGGAACGGCTCAACCCTTCTCACGACAAAAGATAAGGCAAGCATCGCCGAACCAGGGTGAAGAAAAACAAACATCGAACAGAAAAAAAAACACGCCTTGGGTGTATTCTCTATGTTATCCCTGGCTGATGAGTCCAAAACAAAAAATCGAACTTTCCGTGTAGATATTTTCCGTCCAAGACAACCGGGAATCGACCGCCGCACACAAACAAACCCTGCCTGCTACCGTTCCTCTAGTACGGGTAGTAGCCTAGCCTTCCCCATGCCCCCCTGTTACGCGTTCCAAGGTAACCGTCTTTAGATTCGTCGCCCGGTTGTAGCCGCACCGAGACTGACTTACTTTCATTGGTCAGCCGGCCATAAGCGCGGTCGACGGATGCAAAAAAAAAAAAAAAACACTCTTGAGAAACATCACCGCTTTGCTGTGCCTTAGGCCTTCGCGTCATTCCTCGCGTCGTCCCTCACTCTAGGGCACGCCGTCTCCGAAGCAGGGCGCAATGCCCTGAGTGTGCTCTGCTGCAATGGCAACAAGCAAGATCGTACGTGTATTACATTCCCTACCAGCACACCTCCGGAAATACAAGAAACAAAATAGACGTGGACTTTTCTCTCCCTACATTGTCGAGAAAGGCCGCGGGCGATCACAGCCCAAACGCCGTCCGCCTCAGGTCTGCGGCATTCCAGATACAACGACCTTCCCACCACTCAATGCGGTCTCACTCCGCATCCGAAAAAAGAGACGATATACAGTATACACATTTACCATGTTCCATTTCTACACACGTGGAATGTGTCCATCGAACCAGTACTGGCGATAAACAAGTACTGAGCTTCGGCCGGGAAACGGTTGCAACGGGATGAAAAAATCAACATCACGAACGACGACAACACCATCAACCACACCAATCAACGGCGACAGAGCAACAACTACAACGACAGACAGATAACGTAATGCCGGTATTGTACACGTGAACGCTGGCGTGATACATACATGCGATACACATAAACATGTACATGATACACAAAAACTGTTCCGGAAAAAAAAAAATGTAAATATGTGGCCTTCACAAATCAGGCTACAGGCGAGTATAAATATACAGCGACAGCAACGTGCAAGTACGAGGCTTGCTTCATGGGAATCTATACTCAGATGGCGAAAATAAAAAATGCGGACAAAAACATTGCAGAGCCAACGGCGGCTCGTACACCAACCAGACGCTTCTGTAGCTGGTCTTTCTCGCCGCCCCGCACGCAACAAAAAAATACAAAAAAATAACCCAGGTATTGATTGAGCATTAGACTGCTGCTGCTGCTGCCCGTTTTCCGCGGCCGAAGATCGATCGTTTCGGGTGGGGGGTACCCGTGTTCTTGGTTTTCTTGTCGGTGGCGGCGCCGCAGACAAGGGGCTCACTAGGCACCGATGGTCTTGATTTTCTTGTTGATGATGGCGCCGCCGAAGGGGGGGGTCTCCACTACAGAAGGCCCTGATGGTCTCGATGTTCTTGTCGATAGCGGGGCCGCAGACCGAGGTTCCCCGCAAGGCACTGCTGATGGGCTTGATTATCTAGTCGGCAGCGGCGTCGCAGACAGGGGGGGACACTGGGCACCGATAGTCTTAATTTTCTTGTCGATGGCGGCGCCGCCGACCGAAAGGGGGGGGGGGGGGGGGGGGGGCGTACTCTTATGCTTTGCATGCCTTAGCGGTTAGACC